GATAGATAGATAGATAGATAGATAGATAGATAGATAGATAGATAGATAGATAGATAGATAGATAGATAGATAGATAGATAGATAGATAGATAGATATTTATTATTGGACACATTAAAGACAAATTATTAAATGTGCATAAAGAATATCTTCTGTTGGCTATAAAGGCCTATAGTAGATCAACTTTATATATTATTTAATAGCTGGGTGTGTTCGGAGCTGGGGGAAATGCACTTAGCTTTCCAAAGTGGGTGTCACCAGGGGGTGACACCTGTAGTTGCATAAAAGGCTTCAGATCCTACAGAAATCTATGAGATAACAGCACTCTCCCTTTACCTCTGTAAAAACTGACTTGTGTTGCATGTTTTGGGGCATAATGAAAAAACCTTAAGTCCGTTTTGTAAAGTCTGGTGTCAGAGAGGAGGATTATATTATGTGACTGACAAGTCATTAGCCAGTGAGCGTATAAAACAATTAAAACTGACCTGTTTTAATTGTTTTATGGCCTAAAGTCATGCATGAAGAGTGTAGCCACTTTGAGCATCTGTAGCTGCTGGCTTTCTGCTAGATCTCACCTTAGATAATTTATCTGAATTTCAAATGCAGGACCACACCTCGTACACTCCCCTTCTGCTTCTCTGTCTATATATCTATATATGACGCCCCTGCACTACAAGCTACGAGTTTGTTCTCATTTTTGTTCCTCACCCTCCCTCTCTTTTTCAATTTATTCACTTCTCATAAGTGCATGTGTATCTGCCCATCCCAAGAGCCGACGCCAGTCCCCTCCAAGGCCTTTTCCAAACCGCAAAACAGGTAGCTAGCATTAGCTGATGACACAGAGCTCAAAACTAATATCCAAATATGATCATCAAAAAACCTAGATGGTGCATGCCAAAATGTCAAACTTATGACCAGGTGATGTCATAGTGGACATGTGCATCTTGTATATACAGTTTATGGTCAGCACTCAAATAAACCCACACTATCACAGCAGAGTATTTCCTGATAATTAAAAGATTTCGCTGCCAAATAATAATAATAAAAAGTAGAAACAAATGTGTCTAGAAGCAAATACCTACAGCTCACGGTAGGGACATGGTAGCTAAAAGAACTCATTTAAACCTACAAGCATGGTGATGGACAAAATGCTACCAGGACAGCATAGATATAAATCTTAACACAGCTTCAAAGTTATTCCTAGCAAACATCTATAAATCATTTCTTATTTAGGCTTCGAGCCTTAGCCTGTGTCATGGTCTAACCATTAAAACAAACCGTCAGCACCCCGCCTCATATCTGAGGTCAGTCTATTGTGTGTTTCTGCTGCAGATAGAAGGCAAAGTGACACTTTCCTGTTGGTGAGCCGTACACAGGCCTCCCGTGTGCTGTGTGTGTCCTCTGCAAACACTGATTGAACCGCGGGCGTTGCCATGGCTACACGCAGACCCAATGAGAAGCTCGCGGTAGACTGTTGCTGAATGAAAATAACAGAGGCCATTTTGCGAACGAAGCCAAGACATCATTCACTAATAACGAAAAACGGAAACGGAGGCAGAGCCGGTCCATTTCTGGACTGACGCCGCTTCTCTTCTCCAGAGTCGCTAGGGTCGGGACTGCGGCGCGGCTCGCGCATGTAGTCGAGAAAGAAAGGCAGGCGGTAACTTAATTGTGCCGCCTTCTCCTTGGAGTGTCTTAAGGAGAGGGGACAGGTTATTTTCACCGCATTGCTGTCCGAGGCCCAGTGACCCCCCGGGAGAGAGGGAGTAGCCTTCAGTCAAGGTTGGCACAACATCCATGCGCGTTGAAAACAGGTGTACGGTTTCATCACACAGTAGCTCCCGAAGCCGCCGTAGCTTCACGGTGTGTGTCACTTCTGCGCCTGTCCGAGGACTTCACTCGTTTTATATGGAAAAGACATGTTATTAGACATGTTTCGGGAATTTGTCCGGTGAGGTGGCAGCTGTGTTAAGGTAAGTACACACTACCAGTTTGTTGTTTAAAAAACACAGGGGGGGGCTATATATTTATCTCTCCCTCCGCGTCGCTTTTAGCAGCTGCACCAGCAGCAGCAGCACTAGATCTGACCCTCGGCTTAATTTCGTGGTGTTAGAGCTGGTAAACAAGGCTATTTGGGTTGTTTTAACTGCCTTACAAGCAGTTATGACCCTGCAGTTGTAATTGACGAAACTCGAGAAAATGAATTAGCTTATCCGGGAGGCGGTCGGGTCGACTCGGTTTCCATTTAAAGTGCATTCCGGTGGACTGGTGTCTCCAGTGCATTAGAGGAAGATGCGGTTGGGACTGGGAGGATGATAAATGACGAAACCACAAGCTTTTAAGCTTTACAAAGAATATTTCTAAAACCGTAAGGACCGACATTATGAGAGCAGTGTGGGAAGAACATGCAGCCTCCTGATAGTTGTAAACATGAACTGAAATATCCACGTTTAACCTAGATCTTAAACGCTTAGGATAATCTCTATTGTTAGCTTGCACTTGTGCATTGGTCAATACAGTTTCCCGTATGTGTAAGAAAAAAGGATATAAGCGTATAGCAGATATTTATTTTCTAACTGGACGAAGAACATATAACTTATTGAGTTTGGTTTTATGATGATAATAGTAACACTGTTACCCTGCAATTCTTTCATTTCATCTTGTGTGTAATATGTAGAGCAATGCTTCTGCGCAGGGCCACCCTACAGTCATCACTGAGTTGCAGTTTTTCCTTATTCCTGCTTCCTGAGTTCACATTCACCTGCCATTAAAGCTTTATCAGTCAGTCTCTATGCAGATAGGAAAACTCATCTGCTGCCTTGCTGTCTGACTTCCTCAAAGCCATTGCTGTCCCAGTTCAAAACAAGCAAACAAAAATAAAACGGATAACACAGCTTTTTCTGTCCAGTCTTCTAACTTGGTTAAACGGATGATGTAATGAGGGGCAACGGATAGTATCCGTAAGATGCATATGAATGCTGGATGAGCAGGGAAAATGGGGATGTGTCCAGGATGCACAGACTGTAACACTATCACTCCGGGAACCACATACCACTCCCAGTGAGGCCTACCTTTCTACCTGCCTTGTGAGTGTCTTTTGCTGTGTGTGTGTGTGTGTGTGTGTGTGTGCCTTAGGCCATACTGGCCGGTGTTTCTGATGTTGTCTTTCTTGTATTTCTGTGACTACACACTTCTGTCTCTGATGAGGAAGCAGCGGGCAGGATGCAGTGTGACGAGCAACAGTTGGCTACTGACTGTTTCGCAGAGGACCAATAACAGGGACTTAAATATACACTCATAATGAGCAATCATAGCATTTTTGATTTGATTAATGGCCAGAGAGCCCAAAACTAAGTGTCTCTGTTGCTAACTCAGTTGCACCTGCTAGTTTAGAGTTACTGGGAGAGAAGCTGTGTGGTGCATGTGTGTCCGAGAGGGAGAGAGAAAGAAAGAGGATCAAGGCAGGTCGTCAGGGAATAGGCGAATGTGATACATTTTCTTCTGAAAGTACAGAATGTAGCAGAGGGGGTTACTATCACAGTCGCCTTTATTTCACTCTAACATTCTCTCACACTCATTTTTAATTTTCCCATGTCTATTCTTTGTTTTGGTGCCCTCTCTTTTCTCATTGTATCCTCTGCTCTGCTTCCTCCTTTATCTCCCCCTCACTGTGCCCTTCTCCAGAGTCTGATGTCATGGCTCAAGTAGTGTTTGAGAAGTGGTGTGTGCCTGCTCCCAGAGCCCATTAACAATGTCCTGTAGCGTGCATCATAAAGTGTCATGCTGATGACTTTTTTTTTTTTAAATCTCATCTGCTGAGCCACTTTTATCTAAAGAAATCCTCTTTTTTGCACAGTAATCAGTAATTCTTTGTTACTGAACCAGAGATACTTTATTCTGACAAATAAGCAACACATTGTAGCACAAAAAAACGACTTGATACGGTCCTGCATTGGAATCATTTTTACTTAGTTATCTGGCTGTGCAACAGAGACGGCCCCAAAAAGCTGCTGTCGAGGCCAAATGCTGATTGTGGTGTGCAATGTAGTTGAGTTACCACAAAGACAAAGAAAAGCAAAAAACAACAGAGATGAAAGAAGCATGGATAGGAAACACAAACAATGGCTGTGATGGACAGTTCTGATTCTTTATTAGTCCTACTCCATTGTAGAGACGTTCTAGTAGATCATGACTTGACAGTGGCCAAACCAAAATGACTAACATGAGTGCAAACAAGAGCCCACATTACCGGTTGTTCCACATATTTTTTACACTGCCCCCTGGAGACAGTACACAGCGACAGCACACAGACGCAGGTCAGCCAGCCTCTGTTGCACCTGCGGATGACCATACAGGGACCTTAATCCCACCCAATATGGTTTGCTTAGTGGCAAACTTGTGCATATGTATGTGATGTGTAATAATCAAATGTGTAAAAATGGCAATATCTGATCTTATAAAATGGACTTGAACACATTTTTCTGGCTTTGTGAAAAACCTCTGCATCTATACACCGCTAGGGATGTTCAAATTATACTGTATCTGGAAAATTAAAAGTCTAAAAACTTACACTGCAAGTTGACAAGTATATCTTCACCTGTATTTCCAGCCAAGATCCTTCCCTAATTTAATCCTTGCACGTCAATCCTATTTCAGTCATGAGGCCTTTTAATCTATTTCAGTGGTCGTAAGAACAACCACAGGTTTCTAAATATAAAGGCTAAACACAGAAAGTAATACACAGCCAGCTTTGTTAAACAGCAGAAACACTAAGCCTCTGAGTACACTGAGTGGGCCTGCTATACCTCTGTTACACTTCATGTTATTCAAGTCCTGCCAGGTGCTTTCAAATTATGGTAAATCTAGAAAAGTGGACCAAAAGCCCGTGCAACACCACAGTTACTTGCTGCGGTCACATCCAGCTTGTCATACATCAGATTAAGCCCCTTGTATCCCTATATCATTAGGGGCTGAGGCCTATCCCCACTGACAAAGGGCAAAAAGCAGGGCACACCCTCAGCAAGTCACTATACCGTCATAGACAGGGCTACCACATGAGGCAAACATGCACGCTCATACATATGACAATTTTAGAATTATCTACCAACCTAGTATTTGTGTCTTTGAATTGTGAGAGGAAGCTGGAGCAACCTGAACAAAACCCCAAACGGGGACAGGGAGAATGTGCAAACTCATCACGCAAATGCCCCCATCAGACCAGCTGGTTCAAATCTAGAATCGTCTTTGAGAGGGCCAACCAGTACAGTACTTGGCCACTCAAAAATGGGCAGATCTGAATGTATGCGTTATACTGAAGGAGCTCACAACACCAGTTATGTAATACATGTAAAAAAAAGTTTGTAGAAAAACAAATATTATTAAACTATTATATCTCTATTAAAGAGCACGCTGCTTTGTGAATATGCTTTTCCTTTTTTGATCTTCAGATTTAAGTGTTTTCCAGTAAGTGACACTTACTACATGCGCAGCTCTTCTGCTTTTTATATCCTACCACTTACTTAACTGGGAATGGCAGGGCCTTGGAGAAGCTGATAATGAATTAGGTGTTGAAACTGTACGGGTGAGAGCATGTCGACACGGCTACTGTAGTCCAGAGTGGCTCATAGGTCAAAGTGTCGGTGCGTTTGAGTGTGAGTTTGTGTCAGTCACTATAAAAATAGTTTGCTTTGGTACTTTAATAAGATCATTACTAAGCTGCTGCTCTGTCCGTTTACTTTAAATTGTCTTATAAATCATTCTTCCACATGCAGCACTAAGTAGGACACACCTAGAAGAGCCAAAATATGATCTCAAGTAAGGAATGTGGTCAAAAATCTGTTTGCTTTGATGTGTGATGCAGATCCTGCTGCTTGTGTTTGTCATGCCAGGTTACAAGATTAAGTCTATAGTTGATAGCACTTATGATAGAACTTTATTGGTCCCCTGGTACTGCCCTGATTTTGGCCTCAAGGTTGCATCATTAGCACCTGTCAGTTGTCAGCTTTTCACCATACCTCAGTGATCCTTCCCACATGATGAGATGTTTCTGGGGGGGCAACTGCTGTTTGATTATGTTTGTTGACACACTGATCGCTGCTGTGGGGCTTTCAGGAACCCTAAAGTCTGAAGCCTAGGTGTTTGGGAGACATAGTTGGAGGAGCGCTACTCGTCACTGGATCCATTCGTGCCCATGTAGACAGGATTTTTACATTACCACTTCATCATCTGCATGATGACAGCAGGCACAGAGAGTGTTGATCAAGACTTAGCTCTGTCCATGTTTGATTTAAAAGTTGGCAACAGGTTTGGCAGAGCCTATGAAGCTTTTTTTTTTTTTTCTAATTTATGGCCTTATACTAAAATAGTTGCTGGTCAGCTACTGTAGAGTAAGATAAATACATTTAAAATGACAGCAAACTAAAGAGATCCGCCCACTGTTTGGTGGAAGGTTTGTAGTATGAATCTCATCTGTTTTTGTCATATCTCAGGATTTGGTTTATGGAAGCTAATTAATTTCTTTTGTAGTGGCACCTCGGCTCTGCCCGAGCCTTTACCGCACTTTAATTTGTAAGTTGCGGATTCTTGCGCCTCTTCTGTTTATTGTTGAAAACTTGTTTTAAGTGGATGCGTTGGATGTTGTCCAAATAGCATGTTACACAGTAGCTGCCTGGCTGGTTTTAGGTATCCAGGCTCTAAATATGACATGCTAATAGCAGTAGTTACATCATCATTCTAGGAATAGCAGGGAGTCTGGGGTCTAGAGGTGCTTCTGGCTGACCTCTCTCCTGTGTATATTCGGCGTCTGTGTGCATGTGTGTGGTCATTTTCCAAATATACAGTCCCATATGGATTACAGCGCGGGAAAGATTATTAATGGTACAGGTGAGTGGTCATATAATTTGTATATTTAGAGCCTGGTATGACGTTGACAGTACAAGATGTATTTACATGGATTTAAAAAGGGAAAAGAAAAAGTGCAATTGCATGTCATGTCTATGTGGCTGGATATTCACATCTCCGAAGGAGCATTCTTGACACAAAGTCAAGCTGACCACAACAAAAAAGGAAAGAAAGAAAATCTCATGTGAGAAGGATTTAAGACTCCTGTCAGTTTCTGTGTGGATGCTGCCACTTTACATAGCCACAAACTGACAACTCTGGCCACTGTGACATAAAACCTGTTAGGAGGAGATGAGTACATTGAGGTTCTCTTACACCCTTCTCACACCTCAGGCGAGCCTAACATCTGAAAGGTGTATCTACCTGATGTAGCATACAGTAGAATCACTCTGCGACTCCTTTGGAATGTATGAATTGTGTGAACGTGTGCTTAGAAGTAGTTTGTCTTCATGGGCATGCGTGCGCTTATACTGCGTGGCATGCATGCAAACATGTGTGTGGCAAAATAGAGATACTCAGGCCTGTCACTTATCCCCCACCCATCCACACCGGGGGGTTACTTTCCAGTCTCAAAGACAAGCATGCCAGAGTCTGAAAATAACCGTATCTGATCACTGCTTCACCCAAACAGGCAACTCTCTTTCCCTGTCACTCCCACTCTTCGACTCCGTCTCTTAACTTTCTCCTCGGTCTGTTGTCTCTGTGCTTCCCAGGCATTGAACGGGGATCTTGGGACTAAAGCTTGAGCGGGAGGAGATACTTGTCCTGAGCAGAGGAGAGAAAGTGGAAGGCACGGGGGGACTTTTAAGTCACAACGCCATACGTGACTCTTCTTAGCACTTCTCCAGTCTTTTGGGTTTATGACGGTAAGAGTTACATTTACTTTACTTGATGGACCATTGCACCTGCACTCTGTTGTTTGCAGTGGGGCAGGATTGCATTTCGCTGGCGTTCACAGGAAAACCATTTTTATTAAAACAAATTTAAATCCGAGTGTGGATATTTTGGATTTAACCTGTCCTAATATCTTATATTGCTTTCTTCAAAGACCCTCTTCAAGGCACGCAGATATCGCAACGCTGTCTACTCGGTTGTCATGTGTCTATATTTACTTGTTATGAACACAGATGCTTTAAAAAGATTTAAATTAAAAGAGATCCGAATAGCTTTTACAGCCCAAACACCCAAAGGGAATAGTATTTATCTGTGCTGCCAAAACCAAAAATTATAGCCCAAGAGTAGAATTTTTGTCTTTTGTGACAGTGGACAGAGGAAATGGTGTCAAATAAAAACAGCGGTTTTGACCGCGGTCACCTAAGAAATAGGATCACAAAAAAAGCTTTAAAAAAGCGTTAACTTCCTGAGCATGACTTTATCAGATTTTTGTGTATTTGTTTGTTTGTAAATATATTTATAAGAACTCCGTAACCTCTTAACTTTTGCCCCAGAATCCTTTCCCTCTTCGGGCCCTTTTACATACTTCAGTCTCTTGTTACAGCCTTTTTTCATGGTTTCTTATTTCCTATTCAACAAAAGCCATGCACCAATTCCTCCATTAGGCCAATCTCAGAGGTGTTGTGGAATGTCACCTTGACCCCTTGGGTACACAGTAAGGGGTGGTTCCCAGCCTCGGTTTGTATCACGGGCGGCTGGATTTGTTTTCTTCCGGATCTCACATACACAGTCACTTTGCGCGTTCCCTGCAAACGTCACAGGGCAACCTCTTCTTTTTTTTTTTTTTCTTCATTCATATGCGTCATTCCAGCCTCATTAAAACTGATTGCAGAGGTCAGCGATACTTTTGTAAAGGTTTTTTGGTTAGATAAATCTTTTTGTTGCTTTTATAAAGTCCACGCTTCATTGTAATGCATAGTTTTCTTCTTCAGCTGATGGCATTTGCTTGGTTAGATGTGTGTCATGTGGAGTGGCAGTTCTATGAAGCTGGTGTTATTAGAAAAATTAAATGAATCTGGCATGAAATCAGGGATTTTTTTTTCCTGCAGTGTCTGTGTTTAAAATTAAGGATAGAATATTTTGTGGTAGTTATGATTATGAGCTTACCCGGCCTGTTGTTTCAGCCCTTCTTTTCCGCATTCCTGATTACTGGTTGTTTGTTCTAAAGCTGAAAACTTTTTTATTTTACTGAATCAAAGCGAATGCAAGGCTCTTATTTGAGGCTCTCATGCAAATATCTAGAATCCTGGAAATAGGAAAAACATCTTTTTCATTCTGTTTGACATTTAAAACTCTGATGTCTGTGTAGAAATACTTAATACATAAACATATAAATGGATACTTGCTGTGTGCTCTCCCTTCTTACAGTTGGGACCAGTAAGCCTCAAAGTAAGCAGTGTCCTTCATGAAGAAGGAAAATGTTTATTTACACATTGTTGAAGCCCTGAAACAATCAGGAACTTTGAGTTTGTGAATATTTTCATGGATAAACTGTCAGTTTTAAGTAGGAAGGCTGAATGTTGCATTGATAATAATTTTAAAGCTGCACAAGTTTTTCTAATGTTCTTGACCAGCTTCGAGGTTAAAAGGTCACGGCTAATGGCATTAAATATAGCGCCTCTTCTAATCAAGTTCCTCTTGTCTTCATGCTCGACACTTAACACTGGTACCTGGGGAATCCAGACTATGCATGGGGAATTTAATCTTGGGCACAACAGATAGCCCTGCCGCTTCAGCGTACCTCCTGTCTCAAATCAAAAAATATATTTTTGAACTGTTTGTCTTAACAAAGTCTTAGACGTAAACACTTTGTTTTACATATTGTAATTTGGAATTTCTTTTTGTTGTCATCTCTCTGACGTGTTTGCATATTTTCAGGATACATTTCTTTACCTCGTCACACTTTGTCACCCTCGAGATGGGCGTGTTTACTCGTAGCATGTGGAAAAACTAACTTCTGCAAACACAAAGGAAAATTTTGCTTTTATGAAGTCCACACCAAGTTGTAATGAATAGTTTTCATCGGCTGATGGTATTTGTAGTTCAAACTAGAGATGGACCGATCCGATATTACGTATCGGTATCGGTCCGATACTGACCTAAATTACTGGATCGGATATCGGAGAAAAATAAAAAATGTAATCCGATCCATTAAATATCACGAAAGCACCTCACAAAACTTGCAACACGCCGTAACTCACCTCAGAACGTTAGCACGTCGGAGCAGTATGCCTCACGTGATAGAGCGGCTGTGGCATGCGGGACCTGTCGGTGCTCTGGATAGCATGTGGAGCTTCGCTAGCAACCCGGCATTTCATCTCCGACAAAGTTATCCCGAGAGAAGTAAAGCAAGTGTGTAAGTCCATCTCTGAATGTTTGTAAAGCATTCCTGCGTTAAGCTTAACAAACGATATATGGAGCGACTGCCTCTTCTTGCTGCTACTTCAATCATGAAACTGCTTAACGATCAGCTGATCGGCTTTTCTGTCGCGAGTCCGTCTCTCTGGTTTGCTTTTGGCCCACTTTGCACCAGAAAGAGGAAACCAGCGGCTGAACAACAGCAGCACGTTTAAGCTTGATAAGCTGTTGTTAGAATTTATTTATTATTACTTTCTACTCCAGGATCTTTTTCTAAGTAGCTGACACTGGTAACTGTGCAGGGGCGGATCTAGCAAAGTTTAGCCAGGGGGGCCGATAGGGTATTAACAGGGAAAAGGGGGCACAAAGACATACTTTTCTTTCTTATTCTCATTTAAAATGTCGAGCTTTTAATAAATAATTATCTGACACCCAAAGTTTTAATTTGATGCAAAATGAATAGAAGTCCATTACTGTATATAGTAACTATTAAGTCTAATATATATACCCTAGTAAGCTATAGTACTTTTTCCTTTGGGAAGGTACCATCTGTGCAGTCTGCAATTTTGTTGAAGAAAGATGTTGAATCTATTTAATATTTCTTGAAAAATAATTGATTTCTGTGCATTTTTTTCACACTGCATCAAATTAAGGTTGATTACGTCGATTAAGCATCATGAGGTGGAGCGTGAGGGGTGGTTCCCTATTTTTTATTTATTTATTTTTGTTGTTGCTGGGAGTTGGAACCCTATTAGTTAGGTTGCTTAATATTTCTGCTAAGTACTCTTTAAAATACCAGAATAGGGAGGATGGTGTAGGTTTAAGTTTATTAGATTGATCAGTATTGCTGAACTATGAAACATTTTTTTTGCATACAGGTGTAACAGAATAGCTTTAGTGTAGTTGTTGTTTTAAACTTGAGTATGAACTTATACAAAATGCAGCAAGATATTTAAAAAATAGTTTTGTTGATTAAAAAACACTATATCGGATTCATATCGGTATCGGCAGATATCCAAATTTATGATATCGGTATCGGTATCGGACATAAAAAAGTGGTATCGTGCCATCTCTAGTTCAAACATCATATTTTAAACTCAAAATGTTTCAGATTCCAAGCTGAACAACAGTTGTTCTTCCTTCACTCAGAAAGCTGGAGCTTGACTATTACATTACGTCAAAATGACAAGTCAGGAAACGCTCAAGCTTCATCTTTGAAATTGCTTTGACATTTAGCCTAATGTCACACTGTCCTCTCATTTGCTCACTCTATTATCTTCTCGTAGCTCTGCCTATATTAGCTTGTTGTGTGGGCTGCAGTCTGAATAATAGTTTTCAAGCTTTTGTTAGATATCTTTGTGTGTGTTGTGCTTATTCTTAAGGAGCCGGCATGAAACTGTGGCAGCTCTAAATGTATTGTTGAGCGGGGCTGCTCAGATGTGTCCTCGGGCAGCTTTTGGCACAGAGCTTACATAATGCAACTAATATAATTTTCCATTTTCAGTAGGATGCCATTTATTTTGCACTTCCTTCACTAAACACAACACAATAGGAAGGTTTTCTCTTCATCTCTTGATTTTATTAGATTTCTATGCACTTTTTTATTTTTTATTTTTAAATTGCTCTCTCCTTACACACAGAGCACATCATAAATTCTGTATAGGAAGACTGAGATAACAAACCCACCAAGTGTCACATCCAATTCATTCTTTTTCTCCCATATCCCCGACTCAAAGTACCAGGGATTGTGTTACATAATTGCATTAGTGCTCTCGGGCCAATGGCTGTGCTCGTTAGCGTCGTTGTGATGCAATCTGGAGAACACGCTCTCTGTTGTTTGCCGTATGGGCAGTGAGTGGGCACGCAGGGTCAGTGTGTTGACCTCCCCTGTCCATTCTTACAGCCAGAGGGGAGGGGGGTCCGCTAATGAGTGGCAAGGTTGAGCAAACAAGGCTGATAACAGAGACTTTGTTGCAAGTGGTTGTTGTTCAACTACTGGCAGTAATGTGCTGGTAGAACAGTAACATGGCACCGACAAAACATTCCTGCATCTAACAGCAAATACTTTAGAGCTTTTGTGAGAGGCTTAAACTGTGTTCTGCTTGAGGATTGAAGCTGTTCGTTTTGTACTTTAGAAAGGTTTCGTTTTTTTAAAGGAATCATTAAAGACCATTTATTCAGATTTAGTGGTATGGACGGGTATTTAACATACTTCTAACAGGCTGGAGTGCGGGGCCTAAACTGTTTCATGGTTCGAGTAATCCGCTTTTCTAAAGTGAATTGCAGGTCAGAAGTTTCTTAAGGTATGTAGGAAAGGCAGCATGCTGAAACAATAGCACCTCAATCATATGAATGGGAAATGACCGGCATATTACCAGGAATCATTGTGATGTGGCCATTAAAGGATTTTTAACACCGCTGCTCAGCAGAGATTTTAACACATGCCTCTGTGTTAAAGTGCTTAAAATCACCGTGACATGGATTACTCATCGCTTTCTGAATGTAATATTTAAATCTGACTTTGTTCCAACATTATGGGAGGTTATATTTTTCA